CTAACTTGTGTTTGTTCACACTCAAAGTTGCTGGCAAGAGTGCTGTTAGTCGGTAAACGGACAGAATATTTGATGTCCTCTTAGCGACTCCTCTTCTCTTTAGTTTGGACCACTGCAATAAGGTATTAATGGTGCTTTAAAGTAAGTGTCCAACATTCTGGAAATATTCAGAGTTATGCAGTGGTAAATGGACCAGTACTCACTGGTACTGAGTACCGCCACTACTGATATTTGTCCACATGAGTACTCTTACTTCTTATTGCGTAATGCCACCTCTGGTGAGCATGGCTGTACCAACCACTGAGGTCACTGGACCTCCATTTTTTTTGAGTGGTATACAATAAAAGTTGGGAAATAATTGCCTAAAAATAACTACTTTGATGCCCCCAAACCCCCCCAGCAAGTACAGTTTTTGGATCTCAATATTTCTAAAACCCTGCATACAGCAATGCTGGTGAGGTTCTACGAAGCACCTGCGTAACTGTGTCACCATGTAAACACGTAGCTGGCTTAACACTAAGAAAACAGCACTGAAAATGTCCTTAAAATAAATTTGCTGCTGCTGAAGAATTAGGGTTATGTTGTGTTTAGGGTTAAGGTTGTGCTAAATGAGGGTATTGGCACCTCTTTGATTTTTATTCTTTACGTATTTTTACGACAAAAAGAAACACCACTCTGTAAGACCATGACTGCCAGTGGACTGTGTTTTTGGAGCTCAGCGTGACCAAAACGTCGTCACAGACACTGTCACTTTGAATTTCAGGAATCTGAATCTTTGATAAGGGATTTGAAAGGTCTTGAATTCAATAAAATGCTATCAAACCCCAGCCGTAAACATATTTATCCTCTCCAGTAGAGAAAGAGCAAACCAAGAGTCTTGCGGAGGAGGGAGAAACTGCAAGTCGCAACATCTTTGTTGTGACATGAAGCAGAGGGTTTATGTAAAATGTCTTCAGGAGCATTAAGGCTAACAACTGCACGATAGAAAGGCTACCAATCGTCTCTGGCATTTGTTTGCAATAATAACACCAAATATACTGGACCATTAATGTGACAATGATGTATTGGTGTTTAAGAATGTTTCCCTTTCTCAGTCATTTCTGTCCAATTTAACCTATTTGTCAGAGCACCAAGTTTTTGCTGGAGGCAAAGAGATGTACTGTCCCAAACGCAGTGCTGGAAAATAATTCCCTGCTCTGCTCTGGTCAATAACGTTGCATTACCCCGCAGCGTTATTGAAAACCACCACCAAATCGCATTTGTCCACCTGCCTTACATGAAACATATCTTCTCATAAAAGAGATTTTGTGAGTTTTTTTCCGTGTTTTAGAGTACCTCTGCGCAAAGCAGACATTAAAATCTAATCTGAAGCAGTTATTTTCCCATAAAACAAAGCTATCGGAGAGGTTATGATGACTGAACCCGCTATAGGCCTGTATTTATACAAGCACATCCAATCTGATTTTCCTATGTAGCCTCAAGTTTATGGTTTACTCAGATTTAGCCTCAAGTGACAGCATCTTATCTGAGCTCTGCGGAGATTGCTTTCAAATTGCTGCACCTTGGTGAATCAGCCACTGAGGCCTCTAATTGCTAATTCTGTCAGTTTAATTAAAGTTCAAAACTACAGCAGCTTCTTTAAACCATCCAAGCATATCTCTGGGCTATGTCCCTTATGTAAAGAAAAAGCTGTGGGCTGATTGGAGGTTTTTATTTTTTCATTTTGTAAGAGTCATCTCTTTATTTCTGCTCAGTTCCTTTAGCCTTGCACTCAGATTGTGTATTCTCAGTGTATTCTGCCAATCGACTCCAGTAGCTACTGGGTTCATTCTCATCATCCCAGTCATCTAAATCCGGGGTCAAGATGTAAAATTGGTCAAAGCTTGATTTCTCTCAGAGCTTCTGTGTGACAAAAATAACAATATATTTAAATAAATGGAATATAATAAATTAATTCTACTTTTGACATTGTCACAAACCAAATCGGATACGTCTCCAGATCCACTTGCCATACCTCTGTTTAAATACAAATACATTTTTATTTATTTCCACCTCTCATAAAGTGTGCGTATTGTTGCAGCCTTTAAGCATTTTGTTTTGTGCTTTTTCACATTCTAGAACAACTCTTTAAAGTCGGCCAGGCTTTGATTTATTTTATGTGAAGAAAGAAAAGTAAAACTACAACCTAAAGCCCCCTGGGTAAAACACTCGCTGCTAGACAGGTGGATTCAATCTTTAACTAGGCAGAATGGTGTTTGTTTTCCAGGTGTACTCATCTCTCTCTCTCTCAGTGTGTCTCTAATCTGATAGTATTTCTGATCCTGGGCCAGACAGAAACAACTGTTACCCACAGCCACTTAGAATAACAAGCAGCTTCAGCGGGCCTGCAGGGCCAAACTACGACTCCTGGAGCATGAAATACACTTGGCATGCAAGAGGGTTGTGATTCTGACTGGAGAACATATTGGTCCCATACTGTAAGGCTACAGTGCAGGATGCCAAGGAGGAGCCCCGGAGGATTTCATTCCTGGTAAAGCACCAAATAAAAACAACTCAAGTGCACTTCACTTTAACTAGCTCACAACTCATGTTGCTGCAGTAGCTGCAGAGGAAGCTGTTATGCTTTTTCGGGAAATAAGAAACATTTTACTCATTGTCATTTTCAGAATAAAAGAATAAAAATTGTATGTTCTATGTTTTCTCTATCTATATTTTTGTCTCTCTGTAAATATATTTCTTCAAAAAATATATACTTTTCTTAAAGGTCCAGTATGTAACATTTGGGAGGATCTATTGGCAGAACTGGAAAATAATATTCATAGGTATGCTTTCA